GGGCACCAACGCCCCCGAGCCCCCCCCGTGCCCCCCGAGGGGCGACGTGGGCCGGGCCGCCCCCCGGGAGGGCGGAGGCGCCGGGGGGGCCCTGGCGCCGGCCGCAGCCCCCGCCTGGGATCCCCTCCTTGGTCTTTTCCTTCCCGAGGGCTCAACGGGAGCCAAGGGCTGAGGGGCCGGAGCAGGGGGCCCAGGCGTCCGGGTCACATGATCTTACAGCACGAGTTCTGCTTTCTGGCCTGGAAACGGGGAGAAAAACCCCAGTTTGAGCAGCAGCCCCGGCGCAAGGAGGGCCGGGGCTGAAGCGAGCCGCGCGGCGAGCGGCACGCACCGTTTTGTAGAAGGCTTTCGAGTGCGCCCCGAGCACCTCCGATTTGGACACCAGGTCGTCGAGCTTCTCGCCTCGCTCCAGCAGCGACTCCATGGTGTTGTGCTGCCCAAAGACACGGGCCCCGTGTCCCGCACCCGTGGCCCGCACCGGGGACACGGCGGGAAGGAAATGCTGCTCTGCCCGAGAACGCGGGAGGAAAAGGGGAGGGAACGGCTCGGGAGGGGCTAGGGATGCACGGAGATGGCACGGAGGGACGGGCGTGGGAAGAGGAGGGGAAGGATGTTCCGCAGCCGGGACAGGAGGTGCAGACACCCCAAAGCTCAGCCCCTGCTCGGGAGCTGCCCGAGCGGCCGGCAGGGCACCGGACAGGGTGTCCCGTTCGGAGCCGCGGGCGAGCGGCGGGCACCGGGAGGGGCGCGGGAAGGCGGGAATCGCGTCCTCACCAGGATGATTTTGGTCTCGTCCAGCTCCGCCTGCACCCTGGTCATGGGATCAGCGTCGCGCGGGTTCTGGGAAGGGGCGGACACACGGCTGAGCGCCGCGGCGCCGGGGCGGCCGTCCCGCCGGCCGCGGCCCTACCTGGTACTTGCTGAGGTATCCGTCCAGCGCGGCGTAGGCGACGCTCGCCGGGGACGCCGAGGGCCAGTCCATCCTGCTGACCTGCCTGGAGAACTCGTCCAGCACCTGCAAAACGGGCAGCGCCGCTGCACGGCCGCCCCACGGCCGCCCCACGGCCGCGCGCGGCTTCCCTGCCCACGGAAAACCCACGCCGGCCACGGACGGGTCTGGCGGGCGCCGCGGGAGGCACCCAAAGCCCTAGACCTTCCCGGCGTGGCCAGACACGTAACGATGGGTGTCCCGAAACGCCGTGGGCGCCGCCGCAGCCGGGAGCTTCCTGGGTTAACGCCCAAGGCGGGCGGCGAGGCCAACGCCTGGGCTACGAGCCGCTCCCGGGGGATCCGACCCCCAACTCCCGCAGGGAAAGGGCACGGAGGGTCATTCCGTCGGAGCGCAGCCAAGACCGGCAGGAAAAGGCCCCACGGCGAGGGCAGCGCTCACCTTGTCCAGCAAGGTGAAGCCGACGCGCGGCGGGTACTCGGTGTCGGCGATCACCACGCCGGCCAGCCCGTCGCTCCGCACGTACACGTGGCACAGATACTCTGGGCACGGAGCTGGCGTCAGGCGGGCGCCCCGCGGGGCTCCCCGCGCGCCTTCCTCCTCCTCCCGCTCCTCCTCGGCCCCGGCAGCTCCTCCCGCCGCCGGGAGCCGCTCCGGGAGGTCTCCGGGAGCAGCAGGAGCGCGTTGGGCTGGGAGAAAGGCTCGAGGGAGGCTTGGGAGCCCCGGATGGTGTGTGAACAGGTCGGGGCGCTGCGGCTGCGGGCGGAGCTGCATTCCCAGGGCAGCCGGACCAAACACCCAGGGGAATCTCCCAGCTGGATTTTAATGCGGAGGGCGGGAGCGTCACCCAAGAGGTGGCGGCCACCATGGGTGGCAGCCCGGTCCGGGCGTGCCGAGGCCCGGAACCCCCCGAGGGGCAGCGGCAGCTCAGCGGCGTCCCCCTGTCTATCCCGATGCGCCCCGCGGGAATGGGAGCATCTCCCTGGGGAGGCCCAGGAAGGCGCCAGGAACACAAAGCGCGCAGGGAATGCGACGGGCACAGGGAATGCCAAGGCCCGGGATGCGCCGGCCCCTTGCCGGTGCCCGCCGGCGCGGCCGCTTACCCTGCTCCTTGACGGAGGCCCTGCTGCCCAGCGGCGAGCGCTCCACGATGAGCTGGCTCGTGAAGGTCATGAATTCCTGCACGCTGCCAACACAAAGGGGGTCACCCCCGCGCCGGGCACTGCCCGGAGCCGCCGCTCCGCCTTCCTTCCCAGCTGATCCGCAGGGAGAGGGGAGGCTGGACACGGCCCGGGGTTGAGGCCAGGCTTAACGGCTCCCTGAAGCCCAAAGCTCATCCCAAACGGGGAGCAGGCGCAAGACAAACCTGCTCCGCCAGCCTTCCAGCTCGGGTTAACCAAGCCGGGCTCCCCGTGCCCGGCTGGGCTGGAAAGCCGCAGGAATGGGAGCCAACCTGGCCCGGGCGGCGCCGTTTCCCTCCCTTCCCCTTCATTCCCCAGAAGGGGAATTTGCCGCTTAAAATTTGTGCAAGACTCGCGATTTTCTCGTCTTTCCCCCCAAAGAACTGCCCAGCTCCGATGTCATTCCTTGAGGCTGCTCTTCACCCCAAACTTAACCCCAGCGCCCCTGGAATTCGACGCCCAGGCTGCGCCCTCACAGCCTTCCTCCTCGCTGCAGATTCCCACAGGGATTTTTCCAGGCTCCCTCTTTTATTCCCCCCCTTTCCGCTTTGGAAAGAGCTCCTCTGGTCCCATACGGTGACAAAACCACGTGGGACTTTGGGGAAAAAAGAGCCAAGAAGGGGGATTATGAAGAGCTTGCGCTTTGTGGGGGAGCCGGGTGCCGGTGACGAGCGGGTTCGGGCTGATCGGTGACGGTGTCACCGGGCCGGGTGTCCCCGGGGCCGGGTGTCACCGGGCCGGGTGTCACCAGGAGGGGTGTCACCGGGCCGGGTGTCCCGGGGCCGGGTGTCCCGGGGCCGGGTGTCACCAGGAGGGGTGTCACGGGGCCGGGTGTCACCGGGCCGGGTGTCACCGGGCCGGGTGTCACCAGGAGGGGTGTCACCGGGGCGGGTGTCCCGGGGCCGGGTGTCACCGGGGTGGGTGTCACCGGGCGGGGTGTCACCGGGCGGGGTGTCACCAGGCCGGGTGTCCCGGGGCCGGGTGTCACCGGGGCTGGGGTGTCACGGGGCCGGGTGTCACCGGGCCGGGTGTCACCGGGGCGGGTGTCCCGGGGCCGGGTGTCACCAGGAGGGGTGTCACCGGGGCGGGTGTCCCGGGGCCGGGTGTCACCAGGAGGGGTGTCCCGGGGCCGGGTGTCCCGGGGCCGGGTGTCACCAGGAGGGGTGTCACGGGGCCGGGTGTCCCGGGGCCGGGTGTCACCGGGCCGGGTGTCCCGGGGCCGGGTGTCACCGGGCCGGGTGTCCCGGGGCGGGTGTCACCGGGCCGGGTGTCACCAGGAGGGGTGTCCCGGGCCGGGGCGCGGGACCCACCTGGACCTCTGGAAGAAGCTGAAGGAGGAGACGTCGTAGGCGGCTTTGAGGAGCCGCGCGCGGGGGTCCCCCTTGTAAAGGACACTTAGGCTGTAGAGCCTCATGGCGGCGGCGGCGGCTCCTGCGGGGGGAGCCCGGGGGGAGCCCGGTGAGAGCCCGGTGAGAGCCCCGGTGAGAGCCCCGCTCCCGGCCCCGGCCCCGCTCCCGGCCCCGCCACACGGCTCCACCCGAACCGCCCCGCCCCGCCCCGCCCCGCCCGCGA